GGGGTGGGGTGGGGTGGGGTGCCACCTGACACTGTTGGCCCCTGGGACGCTTCATGGCTGCAACCTCCACCTTGCGTTGCAAAGCATGTAGCAGCGCGAGTCACATGTGAAGTGTGACGCCCAGCACGGCTTCGCTCCCCATCATCCACCGCCGCGACCCTCCCTGCACCACCACCTGGTGCTCGACAGCGATCACGCCGGTCCAGATAAATGGCGGCGGCAACACGCCCAACGGCAATGCCAACGGCGTCCCCACCACCAACGTGAACCCTGCTGGCAATGCGCCCCCTGGTAAGATGGCGGTGGTTTGTCGTGTGGTCACCAGCCCTTGCGATGCCATTGTGTGCGGAAGCCACGCACCACGGCAGAGCCCTTGGGGCGTGCCGTCGATGATGAAGTATAAACGTGTCTTGCTTCCAAACGAACCCCCAACCTGCTGACTTGGATGTCTTGTTGCCCAACATCACTCTTTGCGGGGCCACTGCAGGCCAGAACGTGCGCCGCCTCAGCGGTGAGGGGTGGCTGGCTTCCGCCGCCCAGAAGTGTGTGCCATGCAGACTGAGCACGGTGCTGCTTGCTTGGGCCTGGACAATGATGTGGGTGAATTCAACATGCATGCTGCGGCTCTTCACTTGGCGCTCCCGCCCCTCTTGTATATCGCCCCCAACCTGCCTCATCCTGGTCCGTGCCCCCGCCCTTGACCCTCGCCCCAACACCCCGTCCCCCCTGCCTCAACAGCCATCACTAAGTTGAACGGAGGCGGCAACACTCCCAGCGGCAACGCCAACGGTGTTCCCTCCGTCAACCCTGCCGGCAACCAGCCCCCTGGTAAGATTGCTTGCGCGTGCTTGCACTCTTGAGCTTGCACTCGCTCATGCCCGGGCACGTGCCAAAGAATCCCCAGGCTCACATGGTCAGCCGCACGCCATGAGTACGGCCCTAGCTCTCCTTGATTTGTGTCATTGCTCACATCGCCCCACCTGCTCTCACCCCCGCCATGCACCCTCGTGCGGTTCCTGCATTCCAGGCCAGCAGGGTCGCCGCCTCCACAGTGGGTGGGGTGGGGTGGGCTTGGTGTGTGTTGCATGACACTGTTGGCCACTCGGATCCTCCTTTGCTGCAGCCTCCACCTTCCTGCATGATGCTATACATGTCGCAGCGCGAGGCACGAGTGGAATGTGACGTCAAGAGCGGCCTCACTGCCCGCCCTCCACCACCGCATCCCCACCCCTCCCCTTCCCCCTCTCCCGCGTGCCGACGTGTAGAAATCACGCCGGTCCCGGTGAACGGGGGCGGCAACACCCCCAACGGCAACGCCAACGGCGTGCCCACCCAAAACCAAAACCCGGCTGGCAATGCGCCCCCTGGTGAGCCTCGCCTACCTGAATTATGCATTCTTTCAAATTCTTGCAATTCAATCAGAGTCAGCCCTGAGGACGCCAGAAATGCGAGACCGACGACACTAGGTGCTTTCCAACACAGGTCTGGCATTCTTGCCCCTACCTGTCCACCACCTCCTGTTGCATCACTGCAGGCCAGAACATGCGCCACCTCCTCGGTGAGGGAGGGACACCCTATTGTTTGGGGGGTGGGGGCGGGGGATGCCGCCCATTATTGTGCCCCGACACTATGGAGCGGCATTCAGTGGGAACAACTCAGCACAAGCTGCAGTGTTGCTGTTGGATGTCAGTGGCTCTGCACATAACATCTCCACATTAGCCCTGCCCCTAGGCCTCTCCCCGCTGCAAGAGGGCGCTCACCCCCTGCTGCCCCCTGCCCGCGCTTGCTCCCCACTTTGCCCTCGCCTCGTCGTGGGTGCGATTGCAACCATGCCCCCGCCTTGTCCCCCTCTCTCACGCCATCCCCCTTTTCACTCCTCTGCCTGGCAAGGAGGCGGCACTGCAAACCAGGGTGGCAACATCCCGAAAGGCACTGCCAACGGCATCCCCTACAAGAACCCGCAAGGCAGAATTCCTCCCGGTGGGTTGGGCTTGTGTGTGCATGCGTGCGTGCGTGCGCGCGCGCGCGCGCATGCACTGGGGTTGAGAAAAGCACGGGTTCAAGAACGTTGGTAAAGTCAGTGCGGTGTGCTGTATGTGCCTTGGCTGCTTGCCTTTCCTGCGATATGGAGCTGCTGTTTCAGCAGCACAGCAGGGCCTGCGGCATCCCTGCACGTGGGACATCGTCAGGTCTCACATGCTTTGTGCCACCCCCAATCCTAAACTTGTGGCCTTGTGCAATTCCCGCCCCGCAGGCCAGGGGGGGTCCGCCCGCCGCCTCAGTGGTGCGTGGGTGTGCCTTGAGGAGTGTTCATGCCATGGTTGGACAGTACTAGCATGTGCCATCTTTATAAGGTGCCGCTGGCTGCAATCCTGTCTACTTGCATGCAGGAAAAGTTTTTTTTGGAAAACTGCTGCACAGGTGACAGCGGAGTTTTCTCAGACCTAAAACTCTCAACAGTTTGTTGCGCGTCCGCCTCACGCACCACGCGCACCCTCCCTGGGTGTGCAGCCATCACCACCACCCAGGTGAACGGGGGTGGCAACACGCCCAACGGCAACGCCAACGGCGTCCCTACCGTCAGCGTGAACCCGGCTGGCAACCAGCCCCCAGGTGAGCAAGGACATGGGTGATTTCACTGAGAAGCCAGTCTACCTTGAAAGGACTGCCCTCGTGTGACGTTGCGCGTCCAGGAAGCCGAACATGTGCCCCAATACACGGCAATTTGGCCACCTGACCCGGCTCCATACCCCATTGCGCTGTCGCAGGCCAGAACATGCGTCGCCTCAGTGGTGAGGGGTGGTCAGGCACGTGGTGCATGCCGTGCAGTGTTTGCGTCCTGAATTTCGTCTAGCCTGGCTGGAACACCAGATCTTCACATATCCGAGGAAGGGTTACTCACACGAAAGCCCACAGGCTCGACATACCAATTGCTGTCTGCCAAACACTTACCGTCAAGCGGCCATTACCCAACATCGTGTGATTGTGAGAAAAGGCTAGTGCCCCTCTGCCATTGCAGATCATCCTTACATTTGCGCGTGCCGTAAATGTCTCATGGATGCTGCGTTCATCATGATACGCCCCCCTCTCTGCCCGCAGCCATCTCAAAGGTGAACGGCGGTGGCCACACTCCCAACGGCAACGCCAATGGCATCCCCGCCACAAACCCCGCCGGCCACGCGCCCCCCGGTGAGCTGGTTGTGTGTTCATATGCAAGGGTCGCATTGGTTGCAAAGCTGTGTGCTTTCTTCCATTATTCTGCCCTAATATTTGTGAAGTCTCAGTCGACTTGGGCCGACAACACGTTTGAAACCTTCTTCTAGTACAATTGCCTCCTCCCTGCTCACTCATTGCAGGCCAGAACATGCGCCGTCTCAGTGGTGAGTCGTTGGGTGCAATTGGTTGTTGATGACAAGCAAATGAAAAAGTACAGAGTGTGTCTGCCATCTCACCTTGTCCCTCGCCTTGCTGTGCAGCAATCATTTTGCAGCATACATGCATGGCATGTTGTGCAGGAGTCCGCACCTTGATTCTGAATTATCGGTCTGTTGCTTCATATCTTCCCGCAGCCATCACGCGCTTCAAGGAGAATGGGGGTGGCAACACCCCCAACGGCAACGCCAACGGCGTCCCGACCGTCGCAGAGAACCCTGCCGGCAAGCGCCCCCCAGGTGAGAGGCACTGACACTGTAAACGCCAGGCTGCTGTAAGGGGGGGTTTTCAGCTGGGTGTTGCAGCTGGGTTGTTGCACGGCTCAATGATGCTAAAGTTTATGCTGGGTGCATGTCACACACATTTGTCAGGCATGGCAAACGGGTTGCAATGCTGCCGCAGCAAGTGGGTTGCTATGTTGCCGCAGCAGTCCGCGCTGCTTACCTCGTCCCGCATCCGCAATGATCCCGCAGGCCAGCAGCCTTGAGCATGCGTCGGCGACTTCAGCAAGGTTGCGCCCAGAACGACATCTGAATGATGCATTGTTGTCGGTGTTGTTGGTGCAATTTTGCAGCGACTGGTCTTGTCGCTGCAGACTGGAATGGCACTCGAGCGCCGCCGCTGCGAATAATGAAAGTTGAAACTGCGCGCGGTGTGTTGCGGTGTGATCATGTAGTGGGCCTGCGTGTGTTTCGCTGTGAGAGGAGAACCCACAGGTTCTGTCGCCGCACTGGTTGGGAACGGTTCGTGGCTTTTGATGGCAAATAAAATGTTGTGAGCCAAAGCCAATTTTGCCAAAATGCATACAAAATCATCATTGTTGTTTTGATTGTAAACTAACTGGTGTTGTCATCTTCTGGGCAGATGTGGCAAGGACAGCTGGGCATTTGTCGCTCATCAAATGATAAAGATAAAATGGTATGCTCCATAAAAAGTGTAGGAATCTGAGCTTTCTTATGCACTATAAGTATTACTGGAGTCGTGCGCAAAATGAGTGGGCTGTCTGAATTGTGATGGGTGGCCCGAGTTGAGGCCTAGGAGGGCACTGGGGGCTGTGCAGCTGCACAGGCCTGGTGCAGGAGCAGCCTGAACTGGCCCTGGAGGAGGCTGGCTTCCAACTCCTTAGTGCATACACAAGGAGGAGCAATATGATAATGCAAGGCGTATTGGCAAGGAGAAGGGCGCACATAAACGACAACAAGGTGCCTGCATGCACAGCGGCGTGCCCTAACGCATGTGCGGATGCCCCACTGGCGTGCGGGCAAACAGAGGCAAGCGTGGACATGCAACAAGCAGCGCTCCCCAACAAAACAACACGTCTGTTGTTTGCAGAGGTGCGTCGCGGCCTTTCTGCGCCAGTCGGCATAGCCGCCCGCTAGATTACGACGGCTTTGATTGCGGCACTGCGGGAGTCCATGGGATGGGGCATGACAAGACAGGGTGCGTACTGTGCACAGCGAGTTTGCAGCTGGCTTCAAATCAGCTTGCTGCCAACATCCGCATCCCGCTGCACGTAACGGCGGCCCTGCTGTGCGTTGCCAAAGGGCACAGCCGTTGCCTTTTGCTGTTGGTGCTGCCGCTCCCGGCTGGCCTGCCGCCGTGCACACTGGACGCCACCCTCAACAACAGCTGCTACACGTGCCCTGTGCTGCATACCTTGACACTTGTGTGCACCTTGATGGCAGATAGCTGCGTGCCCTGCCCGCCAGCATTTACGTTCAGCCTGTATTGGTTGGGTAGGACAAGCTTAAACACGTGCTGGCAATCGCTGCAGCGCTGATGGTACATGTGACGATGCGCACTGCGCACAAGGACGTGCAGCTGCAAAGGAAATCGAACCCCAACCCCGCGGCAAACGAGCGGTTGCTGCGCGATGCTGTTCGTGCCGCGCCCAGCCCGCCCGTGAGGACACTGCTGAACCCCGGTGTGACATTTGCAAAGCGCGCTCTGCGGCACTCACATGTACCAACATGTGCACCGTGGTGTCCCGCAGCTCCATTATCAGCAAGCCAGCATTTGCTGTCAGCCTGTATGGGTCAGACCAAACAAGCACATGTAGTTGACTGACTCTGCTAGACGGAAGCAAGTGTGAAGAGATGAGCTGCGCACCAGAACGTGCGCCCCTGGAGCGCAGCCCGTTGCCAAAAGTGCTGTCCGTCCGCTTGCGTGTGATGCCGCAGCTGTCCATCGCTTCGGCTCACAAAATCCACAGGCGGCCGCCCAGCGGTTGGCTCTGGCGCTCGTGACTGCGCTGCGGCTGCCGCTCTGCAAACAGGCCTCGCCATCCCTGCTGCGCGCGTACGCGCCGCGCAACCCACCTTCAATGACGCGAGATTTGCAGTGGCCCGCAGCTCCGAAAAATGCCCAATATCTTGGTTGTCCTGTGTGAGCGGGGGCAGGCAAAGGCGTAACGGTAATTGGCGGTCTCAGCGGGGGTTGGCACCCTGTCAGTGCAAGGCGGGCTGCGGGGCAGCCGCCCGCCAAGCCTCTTGTCCCATGGCAAATGATGCCGCGGCCGTGCGTTGCTACGGCTCACATAATCCGCAGGCGGTTGTCAAGCGGTTGGCCTTGCCGCTCACAGCTGCGCTGAGGCTGCCGCTCTACACACAGCCCTAACCAGTCCTGCTGTTCGCAATGGCGCGCGAGCGCCGCTCACTTTGACTCATGCAATGCCTCACGAGGGTCCAAAGCCCCAATAACATGTCGCCACTTTCTGCTTTTGGCCTGGGTGGTCCCGGCAGAGCATGGCGAAATGGTCACGCCCGCCTGCAAGCCGGACAACGTCCAGCGCGTCGCCGGCTGCCTCAAGGGCATAATCTGCTCCCACTGCCGCGCGGTGCTGCGCCAGGCGTACGTGATGCCGCCCAATGACGACGAGCTGGAGGAGCGTTACCAGTGGCGACAAGAGCGCACGCGCGTGCAGCGGCGCGCCGCGCAGGCCGCCCCAGCCGCGGGCGCCGGCGCGAGTGGCGGCGCGGGCGCAGGCGCTGCCGCGAGCGATGGTGTGGGCGCAGGCGTGGCGGGGGTCGCGCCGGCGCGGCAGGCGCTGCGGGCGCTCCCATCTGCGAGCAGTGGTGGCGCGAGGCCGCCGATCCCGCCGCCACCGCCGCCGCCGCCGCAGCAGCAGCAGCAGCAGCAGCAGCAGCAGCAGCGGCAGCAGCAGCAGCGGCAGCAGCAGCAGCAGCAGCAGCAGCAGCAGCAGCAGCAGCAGCAGCAGCAGCAGCAGCCGCAGCAGCCGCAGCAGCAGCTGCAGCAGGCGCTCTCGCTATCGCTGCCACTGCCACGCCAGCCGCAGCACCAGGCGCAGCCCCACGCCGGCGCCCCCACGTCGCTGCTTGCGCAGAACGCGCCGCGGCCCGCCCGCCCCGCAGCGTAGTCCGGCGCGTCCATGCCCGCGTGCGCGGCGGCGCCGCCGACACCTGGACGAGATGGAGCGGGACGCGGCAACGTCATCAGCTCTCTGCTGACGTCCTGCGCCCCAGCGAAGCCGCCGCAGCAGCAGCCACGGGCGCAGCTGCAGCCGTAGGACCACCTTGCAGCCGCTGCCGCCGCGCTGCTGCCGCGCAGACCGCCCCTCCGCGAGCCGCTTCTGCCTTGCGGCGAGCTCAGCGGCACCGGTGCCTGCCGGCCCCACAGCTACGACATGGGGCCAACCGTCAACACTGACCTCCAAGCCGCCCACACTAGCGGCACGAGCGGCGCCAGCGGCGGCAGCAGGAGCGTCCCGCTGGCGCCGCACGCGCCGCTTGGACCGCTGCAAGGCGCAGCGCTGTCGCTGTCGCTGCTGCTGCTGCAGCGGCAGCAGCAGCAGCAGCAGCAGCAGCAGCAGCAGCAGCAGCAGCAGCAGCAGCAGCAGCAGCAGCAGCCGGCGCCTCCTGTCCTTGACCTGCGACGGCGCTCCCATCGCAGTGGCAGCGCCTTCTTGTGCGACTTCTCCACGGCCGCCGCCCCCGCGTGCCCCCTACCGGCGTTGCTGCCGCCGCCGCAGCAGCCACCGCTCGCGCCCGAGGCCACGCAGCCGAGCAGTGGCGACGTTGGTTCCCTTCTGGCGCGTCTCATCTCATCTGCGCAGCAGGCGCTGGCTCGGGCGGCGCAGCATGTGATACAATGGCAGCGCCGGCAGACTTTGGATTCTAATTTGAATGATACTTTGTAGACTTGCGTTTCTTCTGCTCAGCGCAACAAGCGGTCGCTGCCCTGCTACGGTGCCTGCCCTGCTGCACAGCACCAACACCAGGCCGCATGCGGTCGCCAGGGCATGACTCGCATCTTGTCATCGGCACGGCGCCATTCACAACTCTATAAGGTGCTGATATCAAACCTTGAAGTGGAGTCGCAGTTGTTGTCTCGCTGCTGCAAGCAAGACTCCGCTCGTCCCGCTTCAAGTTTCAAACCTTGATCACAACAGGGACCACACCAGCGCGTCAGGCTCGACACATTTTGATCAGTCCAAAACGCTTTCAAATCCATATGAACACCATGGCCGCGTCCCTTCGGGCTTCGATGTCGATGACCTCTTGCCCAGCCATCTCGCGCCGGCGCGAGGCAGCAGAATTCGGGTGCTGCGGCTCTCGTGGCCCTATAAGTGGCCGCCTCAGGCCCCAGCTCCGCCAGGCCCAGATCCAGCGCGGGCTGTGCCCAATCACCGTGAGCAGCAAGGGCGGCCCCTCGCCCGCCAAGTACATGTACGTGCAGAGCTACTCTCAGGAGCATGTTGCGCCCACCAACGGGGAGGCGCGCATCAAGGTCATCGGCGTAGGGGGCGGCGGTGGCAATGCACTCAACCGCATGATCGAGGCCGACCTGCAGGTGCGCTGCTCGCAGGACAGGCTGCGCCAGTCGAGCATTCAGGCAAATACTGCGTGCACTGGGACGTACGCACCTCGCGTCCCGCTGGCTTGACCAGAGAGACGTTGCCGAAGCAGCGTTTCCCGCCTTTTTTCCGACCGCTTGCGCTGGCCTGGCATGTGCAAGCGGCCCGGGTGTTGTGGAGCGTCTGTTGGCGTCGGAGCAGCCCCTGAGGGTATCTGATTGTTTGCTTTTTTGATGTCGTTTCATTAGGCTTGGTTTGTGGCGCTGCGGCGCTGCGCGATAGCAGAGGGTACAGTGCAGCGTGCTTCCACAGCAGGATGGCGGTTGAAGCGATGATGTCTTGGCGCAGTTCGGCAGCAGCCATGTATGCCGCAGTCCCTGCAGGTTTGCATGCACAGGTATTAACGATAGGAAACAAACGTCCGCACAGTGCACCAGCCGCCTCCCGCAGCTATGCCACCCAGCCAAATGTGCATCCCGCGCCGGCCGCACGCGCTCACCCCCACCCTCTGTACGCGCCAAACCAGGGCATCGATTTCGTGGCCGTCAACACGGACGCCCAGGCGCTGGCGCACCACAGCGCCCCCAACAAGCTGCAGATCGGCAACCAGGTGGGGGACGGGACGCCCCGGCACCAGCGCAGACGCGGGCCTCCCGCACCACTGGCTAGCAGCGCTGCCCCGCTGGCACAACCGAACGGCGCGTGGGTGCGAGGCCGGCCGGGTGCGTGCTGAGATCACTGATGTGAGAGCGTGCCGCGCGTGCCCGCAGGTGACGCGCGGCCTGGGGTGCGGCGGCAACCCGGAGCTGGGCCGCCACGCAGCGCAGGAGAGCCAGGACGCCCTCAAAAAGGTGGGGGTGGCGCCTTGTTGGTGTGTGCGTGCGTGTGCGTGAGTGTTGGAAGGTGCATACATGTGTGTTTGTGGGAGCGCACAGGTGTGTGTGTCTGGGTGGAGGGGTTCAGGGTGTTGACGGACCTGTTGTGAACGGCTGTGACGATGTCATGGGCTGGGGGCTGATGCGGCACGTCAAGGCGCAGTCACCTGGAGCTGCAACTGCTGCGTGCGGCGCCGGACGCCGGACGCAGGCAGCGGCAAGGCCTTGAGGCTCAGGGGGCCAGATCGGACAGGACAGCAGAAGCTGCTCCACTTCCGCCCCTGAAGTTGCGCCCGCCCCGCATCCGCCTCTCTCTTCCCCTCCTCCCCTCCAAATCCCCAAAAGGTGGTGTCGGGGGCCGACCTGGTGTTCATCACGGCCGGCATGGGGGGCGGCACGGGCACAGGGGCGGCGCCCGTGGTGGCCAAGCTCAGCAAGGACATGGGTGGGCGGCCAAACTGAGGGGTGTGGCGGGGGGCCGGGCTGGGAGCAGGGGCGGCAGAGAGGACGGATGGGGATGAGGGGCGCGCAGAATGGGGCCATGGCTCTCGTTTGTCTGATGCAGGGCAGGCGCCACCAGGCGCCCGACGCGTGAATGCAGAAGAATGCTGTGTGTGTGTGTGTGTGTGTGTGTGTGTGTGTGTGTGTGACGCACGCACGCACGCACACGGGCACGCACGTGCCGCAGCCGCCTGGGGGTGCTGGCGAGGGGCTCGCGCGCGGCCTGTTGACCGGCAGGCTGCAACCTGCACCCCAACCCCTGACCCTGACCACATGTTCCTCCTTTCTTTCGGGGCGTGTGCGCGCGCAGGCATCCTGACCGTGGGCGTCGTGACATACCCCTTCACCTTTGAGGGGCGCCGCCGCAGCAACCAGGCGGTGGAGGGCATCGAGGCCCTGCGGGCAGCCGTGGACTCGGTCATTGTGAGGATCCGGGGCCCGGTGGTTTGGGGGATTCGTGGAGGCAGGGGCGAGGGAGAGGGGCAGCCCCGAAGCCGCCTGGGCTGTCATTGCTGTGGGTGCTGCTCGGCCTGCCGAGTGCCGCGCAAGATTCGCGTCGGCAATGGTTGGGGCCGTGCAGGGCCAAGGGCCGCAGGTGGACGGGCGTGCGGCTCGCCCAGCGCACCGCACGGCCGTGGCCGCTCGGCCGTGGCGGCCTGCTTAACGCGGACCTTGTCCAGCCTTCAGGCGCACCACACGCCTCTCTTTGCCGACCTCCCACCACCCACCGATGCCGCCCTCAAACCGCCACTGGTCTGGAGCCCACCCTCTCCCGCCCCACCCCACCTGAATCCCCCCCCCCAGGTGATCCCCAACGACAAGCTGCTGGAGGTGGCGGGGGAGGGCACGCCGCTGCAGGAGGCGTTCAGCCTGGCGGACGACGTGCTTAGGCAGGGCGTGCAGGTGTGCGCCGCGGGCAGGCGCGGAACAGGGAGGGGACATGGGAGGGGGAATGTGGTGGAGGAGGACAGGGGGACTAGAACACATGCTCACGCAGGGCGTGCAAGCGCGCGCGCGGGGGGGGGGGGGGGGCTCCGCGTCCCGCGCTCCCTTGGCAGCTTGAGGGTGCCGGGCCTTTGTGTCGCCCCCTGGCCATCCGAGGGTGCCCCTACCACAGCGCATCGAGTGTGGTGACGCGCGGGGTAGAGGGATCCAGCCGTTGTGCAAAGCGACCTGTGCACGCAACAACCTAGTGCACCCTGCTGCACGCCAGCGCTGTATGGGCAGCTGCGCGCCAGCAGGTGTCGGCAAGCATGCCAGCCGCCAGGGCTATGGGCACAGCCATTCGCAAGGCGCAAAGAAAGCTCCGCACAGGCACAAGCGCCCCCCCTCTGCCCCGCACCACAACATGCACTCCTCAAACCCAATTCCCCCCCCCCCCCAACGGCTCCAGGGCATCAGTGACATCATCACGGTTCCCGGCCTCATCAACGTGGACTTCGCTGATGTCAGGGCCATCATGAGCAACGCGGGCACAGCCATGCTGGTGAGAATCAACGCGCTGCGCGGCGGCGGCGCGCCGCTGACGGCGCACGGGGCGCGCGCCTTTGAAAGGGGACCGGCTGGGAGGCTAACTGGGGTGCCTCGACAGCTGGCATGAGGGGCGCGACGGGCGGTGCCCTGGAGGCCGAGGCCTGCCCCTTTCTCATGCACACACCTTTCACATGCACAGCTGTGGTGTCCCTCTAAGATCATTCTCCCCCTTCCGGGATGTAACCCCCGACCCCTAACCTTCCCATCACCCCCTCTCCCTCCCCTCCCCTTCCCCCAGGGTGTGGGCATGGCGACAGGCAAGGACCGCGCGGAGCAGGCGGCCCTCGCGGCCACCAGTGCGCCCCTCATCCAGCGCTCGGTGGAGCGCGCCACGGGTGAGCACTGGCGCCTGCACCCATACGCCCGCGCTGGCCCGCAGGCGGCCTCGCTCGCGCCAGGCCGGCTCCCTTGCCCTTGCCCGCCCTCAAATCGCGCGTGCTGCCCACCGTGGACCCCGTGGACCCTGCGCTGTCGCCCCTTACATCAACGCCTTGGCCCCAGATCACATCCAGGACAGCCCCTCCACTTCCAGCTCCTTGCCCCCACAAACGGAATCACCCCC